CACCCGCTGCCCCGCGGCCCCGCGGAGCCGCTGCTGGGCGCCCGCGAAGCGCTGCGCTACTACCGGCGAAAGGCGGCCCGGTGGAGCAGGTGCGTCCCGCGCGGCGCCGCACCGCGCTCCGGACCCCCCGGACCCGCCGGCACCCCCGGGGACCCGCCTGGGGACCCCCGGGAGCCCCGCGCTTGGGAACCCCCCTGGGGACCCCCGCACTTGGGACCCCCCTCCCGAGGATCAACCTGGGCACCCCAGGGATCCCCGCGCTTGGGATCCTGCCCTGGGAAGCCCCAAGATTCTTAGCTTGGAATCCCACCTTGGGGACCCACCCAGGCACCCTCAGGACTCCTGCACTTGTGATCCCCTCCCCCCCCCTCGGGGACCCCTGCTACCCCTGCGCTTGGGGCCCGCCCTGGGGACCTGCCTGGGGGCCCTTGTCCCGAGCACCCTCCCTGGAGCACCCCGTTCCCAAGCACCCTGTCCCTAGGCATCCGGCATCCCCTGCCCAGGTCCCTCCTTCCCACACCCCCTCCCCGAGACCTGGAGCAGCCCATTGCTGGATGCCCCATCCATGGTTATCAAGCCCCTCCTTCCCGAGCACCTCCTTCCTGCACCCCCTTCCTGGGCAACCTGTCTGGGATCCCCTCCAGGCGCCTCTCCATCACACCCTGCATCCCGTGCAGGACTGGGTCTGCCCCCCAAGGTCCCCTGCAAGRCCCCCAGGGCGGCCAGAGAGGGAGAAAGGGGCTGCGGGGTCGGGGGGAGGCCTGAGGGCTCTGTGCATGTCCCCTGATGGGGACCGGAGTCCKCTTTGGGGCTCGCCCTCCCCTTCCTGCCCAGGCTGCTCCCCCTGACGAGTCCCCTGTTTTGAGGTGGGAAACCCTTTGGGGAGGAAAGTGAGGGAAGTGGCGACTCTACGTTGGGGCAGGAGAGGCTCTTCTCACTCTGGGTCTGGCCCTCGGAAGCAGCGGGTGGCCCGTGGCCCGTGCTTGAATCCAYGGGGCCTTTGCAAACCTGCCCTGGCTCCCTCCGTGTGCTCGGGATGGCGGAGCCAGGACAGGCCCGGACCGGCGGCTCCCGATCACCCTTCCCGTGGGGACAGCGAGCGGGGGCCGCAGAGGGGCTGGCAGACAGTGAAAACGAGGGGTTTGGGCTACAGATGGGGAGCCCAGGGGTGACTGCGCCGTCCCCACGGCCTCCCCCAGCCCCGAGCAGCCCCAGCCGGCAGCCGGCAGCACGCGGGGGAACGCGGAGCGCTGCTCCGGCTGCCCTTCAAGGCGCTGTTTAAACAGCAGCAACTAAAAATAACAAAACGTTGCACAAACTCCCCTCGCATGCGGAAAGCACGGTGAGGCGGCGCCCGAGCAGCCTGCAGGGTGCTGCCCCGGCTCCTGCTGCAGCGCGCGCGTGGGGGCCGCAGGGACCCCCGGCCGGGCAGGGGCGAAGCTTTGGGGGCTGGTGGAGCGAGCGCGGCCTCCGCAGGGAGCAGGACGGCCCTGCCGGAGATGGGAGCAGCATCTCCGTGTTCCCTCGTCCCCGTCCCAGCTTGGGCAGGTTGCTGGCGCTCTCCGCTGCTCGTGGCACCGTCTGCACGACTTGGTCTGCCTTTTAATCAGCGAAGCGGGCAGTGAAAGTGTCTTCTTTTTGGCGGGAAGGAAAGGAAGGAAAGGAGGTTGGAGCGGGAGCATGGGGAGGTCCCTTGGAGCTCAGAGAGCGGCGCCGGGACAYAGTACGATTTGGGAGGCATGAGGCGAGCTGCACCCTGGCACCTTCCTTTCCTTGGCAGCTCGGAGGTGCAGCTTGATCGCAGGATGTAAAACCATCTGGAAARGCAAGGAAATAACAGAAAACATCCATGCCTCTTCAAAACCATGAGGAAAAAATATTAAATACCTCAAAAACTTCAAAATTTATTCTAATCGTTTGAGGAGCAGCTTCCAAACACCGAAGGGGTGCACGGAGGAGCAGCGAAAGACACGGCCGCGGGGCTGGGAGGCACCAGCCGCCCTTACGCAACCACTACATTTTTCCCTCATCAGTAACGTGTCGCTCATGGCTGTGCAGAGGGACAGGCCTCGGTGTTTGGGAAGCAGGAGAGCAAATACGGCCAAAGATTTGGGCCCCCAGTGCCCAGCACAGACCCGGACAGGGGCTGTAGAAAGGAACATGCCCTCTTGTCCCGTTTCCTATGTTTCTCCCCCAAAATGCTGCCAGCGGGGTGCGTCCCACAGATTCAGTGGAGAAWCAATCAACAAAAGCTGGAAGCTCCTTGCTGCGTATTTGCCACAACATGAGTTGCTCTGAGGGCGCCTGTCCCGCTTGGTTAATGAACCGCTCGTGCTCCGGGGGCTTGCAGAGCAGGAGCAAGTCGGGAACATGGAGCTACCGGGAGCGACGGCGATRCGGCGCGAGCAGCCGTGCTCTGCCAGGCGCCCTGCCACGCGTGCAACGTTCTTTTTAATGCAATTTAGCAAAGTTTGGGTGCAAACGCCACCTCGCAGCAGCCATTTGCAGGGCCGAATGCCACAGATGGAGTTAGGGAGGGTAATTTATGAGCCTAAGGTAGCGGTTCTATTAATCGGCTGCTGGCAGAGGCCAGCGGAGACAGGGCGGCTCTGTGTGCATGGCTCGTGGAGCGACTGCACAGGCGGGTGAGGCCACTCGGACAAACCACCCTTGTCCTCGTGGCTCTGCCACCCGAGCAGACCCGGCATAGCCGCCATCTCCTCACAGCCCYGTCCCGGAGCCCACGGAGGCCGCAGCACCATGGGGAGCGCCAACGGGGCACCGAAATGGCGGCCGCAGCCTGGCCTCACACTAGGAGTGCCATCAGGGGCACTGAAATGGCGGCCACAGCCTGGCCTCACGCTGGGAGCGCCAACGGGGCACCGAAATGGCGGCCGCAGCCTGGCCTCACACTGGGAGCGCCAACGGGGGCACTGAAATGGCGGCCACAGCCTGGCCTCACACTGGGAGCGCCAACGGGGGCACTGAAATGGCGGCCACAGCCTGGCCTCACACTGGGAGCGCCAACGGGGCACCGAAATGGCGGCCGCAGCCTGGCCTCACACTAGGAGTGCCAAC